GTGGTGTTCACTCAGGTAGTCCATCCTCTGGTGGTAATAACTCTTTGGGGCGAACTTCAGCTGGCTATTGGAGTCAACAATCACATGCTCAACAATGAGGTACACCATCAGGCGCTCAGCAATGGGGTACACCACCAGGTGCTCATCAATGGGGTAGACCACCAGGTGCTCAGCAATGGGGTACACCACGAGGAGCTCAGCAATGGGGTACACCACCAGGTGCTCAACAATGGGGAACATCACCTAATGCGCATCAATGGGGTACACCGCCAAGTTCTCAACAATGGGGCACCCAACAAAATTCTCAGCAATGGGGAGCATATCAAAATACACAACAATGGAGGAGTTCACCACCAGTGGCGCCTCATTGGGATTCATCATTAAATACTCAACAATGGGTTTCATCATCAGATCATTCACAATGGGGTTCATCGCCAACTGCTTCACACTAGCCTTCTTCGACGAATGTTCAACATGGATTTCCACTTGAACCGCAAACTAGAACTACGTCTAATTCTCAACAAGGAGCATCACCAAGGGAAATACCACAACCACGTAAAACTGGAGGACTATTTAACATATGGGAAACCCAACGAGGACCTAATTTAGATGAAACTCATGAAAGCGATGATGATGAAGCTTAGTTTAGTTTCTTGAATTCTTTCATAATAATGATGAAGTTTGATTTATTTTTTGTATAATATTTGTTACTTATTATGTGTGATATAATTGTGTTATAAAATTATTATCAGTCTAACGTTTTATTGTTTTGTCAATATATAGGTTTTTCGTATATGTCAATTTCGAGCACAAAGAGTTCAATTTCTAAGTTATGAAGAGAGAATTGAGTTGTGGAATTTGGAGAATGCACCATTTGAAGAGTTAATTATTGAACCAGCATTGAGTTATTACAATTGATACTTTGAAAGAGAACAAGTTCAAATAGATAGTGGGTTAGGATGGAGAAATATTTGGCATCGGTTACAAGAAGATCATGCAGCTTGTCTTCAGTTACTGCGAATGTCACTTGGCTGTTTTAGAACATTGTGTCATAAATTGGAAACAACATATGGCTTACGACCAACATTGAATGTAAGCACTGAAGAGAGTGTGGCCATGTTTCTATGAATATGTGGACACAACAAAGTTCAACGAGATGTTGGATTACGATTTGGACGAAATCAAGAAACAGTGAAGATAAAGTTTTTTGAAGTCCTTAGAGCGACTGAGTTACTAGCTTGTGATTACATCCACACTCCAACGATGCAAGAACTACACATGATTCCCGACCGTCTAATGGATGGAAAATATTGGCTTTTTTTAGCGGATTCGTAGGAGCAATGGATGGAGTTCATGTATGCGTTAAGGTCAAGCCAGAATTACAAGGAATGTATTGGAATCGACATGACAGAACATCATTCAACATAATGGAAATATGTGATCTGAATATGTTGTTCACATATGTTTGGAATGGAGCACCAGAATATTTTCATGACATAACAGTTCTTAAGATGGCTCAAAGCAATGATCCTGAGTTTCCTTTGCCACCTGCAGATAAAAATTATGTGGTTGACTCTGGTTATCCAAATAAACAAGGTTTTCTTGCTCCATATAGATCTTCACGAAACATAATCGTTCGGTATCATATGTCACAATTTGAATGCTCCTCCTCCTCGGAATAAGCAGGAATTTTTTAACCGTTGGCATGCATCTTTGCGTTCTATCATTGAAAGGACATTTGGAGTTTGGAAAAAAAATCGACGATTCTTTGTGATTTTCCAAGATATACTATAGAAGTGCAAAAGAGAGCGGTGGTTGCTACAATTGGTATACACAATTTTATCAGAATTTCAAATTTTATTGATGATGACTTTGCTGAGACATTAGGACATTCACAGACTGAAAACATTGATTTGGAGTACAATTCAAATTATATGGAAACAACAGTTACCTCTGAAGGCGATGCAATGGCGAATATTAGAGAACAAATTGCAAATACATTATGGGCAAATAAAAATCTTATGTATTGATTTCTATGATTATTGTATTGAGATTTAGTTCTATTTTATATGTAAACTTTTGAATTACATAATTATATATATTGTCTTCATTGTTCTTTTTAGAATTTATTTGAATATTTAAATAATTGTAATTCTAGGTTATAACCCAAAATAGTAATATTATTTTCGAAAAATAATCATTAAAAATCACACATATATATTTAATTGTAAAGTTTAAACAATTCAATTATTTTGAACTAAATTTTCTAATACAGTTTGAAGAAATATAATTGTACTTTTATAATATTTTTGTAAAAAAATATGAAAATAAATAGTAATATCCAATTTATATATACTATTTAAATTTATACAGTATTTTGGACTACTTTTATCCACTTTTACCATTCAGACATATATCTTGGAATGCTAGAAACGCTCGATCCACATTTATACTGCTAGATCTACTCTTGTTTCACTTGATCCGCTAGATCCACAACGCTTAGACTGCTTTTCCCATTCAGAGCCTTATTGATCTGCAACTAAGAGGGAATGAATCTAGCGAGAGAGACCGATGACCAATAAATGCTTTACCTTTTTTTAAGTGTTTTTTTTTTGGAAGACTTCTTTTATTCCTCAAAGGTAATAAATATATTTCTTTTATTGCGCTTCATTCATTTAACAAACTAAAATTTATTTCTTAGAATAAAGTTTAGTAATTTTTTCATTTTTATTTTATAGTATTGGACAATTTTTTTATATAAAAAATTATAAATGATATATTTATCTTGTTTCTAATTATTTTTTATATTTCTCAGGTTGTCTTTACATCAGTTTTGAAAAAAAAAACAATTCATGGTGTTATATTAATTAGTTTGATAAATATATTACTAAACATTTAGGATATTAAAAATAACATATACATGTACTTTTATCTTATTTTCAATTAATTTTGAATTTTATATTGTATATAAATTAGTTTTATGCATAATATTAATAATTCATATATTAATTGAATATATTTATACATTTAAATAGTTACTTTAATAGTCATTTGATACTTTTAACAATGAAATACTAATCTTATTTTTTACTCAATAGTAATTATTTTTCATAAAATTAGTAACTTAGTATGAATAATATATCAAACATATTTTTATGTTCTAACATATACATGTATGCATTTCTATATTTTTTATTTTAAATGAATATTTTGCTGATACAATAACATGTATAAAAATTGGCAATACTAGTTCTTTAGTTGAACGAAATGGTAAGAAAGAATCAAAAATTGAATAAAAATACATAAAATAAGAGAAGAATAAGAATACTCTTAAGAACTTTTAACTGGGATGAATTTTCATATAATTTAAAATTCCATTATATTTATTAAAATGATGATAGTTTTATTTGTGTCAATATGGTATTTATTATTTATTTATAATAAAGTGTATTTTGTTTAGATATTTAATTTTAATTTAAAATATTTAACATTTATTTAAATATAATAATTTATTAATTCTGCATGATTTGTAATTATTCTGTCTGATCTGTATTTCTTCTGTTTGGTATACATTTTTGTTTGATCTACATTTTTTGATATGTGTTCTCCATTCAAAACCTAAGGCTTTGCTGTCCCGAGAAAAAGAAAGAAGACAATAGTATTTTGAAGCAAAAACTAGAAAATGGCATGTGCTATTATTTGAGAAGTAAATTTTCTGATTTTTCAATTTCTCCATAATTTTAGATAATTTAGCTTATTTCATGTTTTATATCTTTATATACAATTAAAATGAATTTATATTAACAATTTTATATTTTTAGCAAATAAGATAACTCTTATGTATTATTTTGTTATCTTGAAAATATATTTCCTATTATAAATTTTAATTTAACTATACTATTATTTGATAAGTAAATTTGTTGATTTGTCAATTTCTCAATGATTTAAGGTGATTTTTCTTATTTTTACTAATTTTATATATAATTTATTCATAATTAAAATGAATTTATATTAATAATATTATAGTGTTAGAAAATAAGATAATTCTTATTGTTATGTTGTTATCTTGAAAATTTATTTTCTATTATTAAATTTTAAAATTAAGATATAAAATTATAATTAAATATAAATCAAGCAAACATATTTGTATATACATATTTCTGATATGTAAATGTTGTCATTTATAATTTAATGTTTGATTTATTTTTTTAAAAAACATAAATAACACTTGTTATGTTGTTTTAAATTAATAAAACATAAATTAATAAATATTCATAAGAAAATTATATTGGCATGTGCCCGGCAAAACACCTACTATTAATTAAACAAAAAGAAAATCTGGAACTTATAACACATAACCGCAAAATTAGATAAATGGAGAACAAATAAACCAAAATATTTTTCATTTTTTTAATTTATATATAGTTACTGATAAAACTACAAAATAACTGATCTCTATTTGGTTTCTGATAAATTGATAAGGGGTTAACCACAGGTGGTGGTGTAGTGGTAGGCAAGCTTCAGGACAATTCGGGTTTGAAGACACCTCATTGTATTTTATTTTGTGACTACGCGGATATTAGGTATTACTTTTGACTCATTTGAATATTCAAAAGAGGGTCTATTCGTGGGTTATACCTCTATCCGGGGTTAGATCTATGTCTTTAAAAGACTTGAGTTTAATATTTTTTTAGTCAAAAAAAAAGATTGATAAGGGGCTAGTGAGTGGGATTATCTTTATAAATGGAAAAAAGGAGACGTGGCCTATAGTTGTCTGTAATAAAATGTCAACCTTAGTTAGATTCTTAAAATACCGTAATAAATCAAGAGATCATTGTATAATCTGTCGGCTACATATGTCACATACATATGCAGGACACATGGGTGAAATAGAGTCAAAACGTGATGGACATGACAAACTAGTATATTTTATATTCTTTATAAATTCAACGGCCAATTTTTTATGAACTGTTATTTAATTTTAATACGACAAAAGGAAAGAAAACTTACAGATGTCTTAAAAAATCCCGAAACCGAAGTGTCTTTATGTTTAATCTCTGCCTCTGATTTGATTTATCCGAATCCAACTCGATGGAAGAAGAATCATCGAAACGACCCGACTCGATCAACAAACCGCCGGAATCTCCCGCGACCAAATTCTCGTTCCCGAGACTCCTTCTCTGGTTCGATCAGTCGAGCCGCCTTAAGACTCTGATCTCATGGTCCCTCTTCTTCCTCCTCGCTATCATCGTTCCAATGATCTCACACTTCGTGCTAGTCTGCTCCGATTGCGATTTCAAACTCCACCGTCCCTACGACGCATTGGTGCAGCTTTCTCTTTCGATCTTCGCCGGTATCTCGTTCGTCAGCCTCTCGGCGTGGTCTAAGAGATACGGTATCCGAAAGTTCTTGTTCCTCCATAAACTCAGTGACGTCAGCGACAAAGTTAGAGTCGGATACGAAGCAGAAATCCAGGTAACTTTCTATAGGTCCGAGCATTTGGATTTTTGGTTCGGTTCAGGATCAAAACCGATCGGTTCCGATTAAATCGGGTAAATTTATTTTGTGTATGAAACCGATTTTGGGTCGATTCTTGTTTGGTTCCAAATTGGTTTGGTTTTGTAATTTTAAAATTGTTTAGTACCCAAATCGTTACTGTGTGAAAGTATTTACAAGTTTGTTTAAAATGGTCCGTCTTTCGCCTTCTAAACCGGAGCAGCAATGTGTTGAATTGTGCATTTTCAAAATGGATTTTGGTTTAGTTATTTATCTATATTTTAAGTAAGGTTTTATTTTAACAGTATTGATGGAATTTTTATGTTAATTGCAAATGATTTAAAATAAATAAAAAGGTAATTAAAAAAAAAGGATTATGGTTAAACCGGGTAGCCGATCTGTTTTGGATAGAAACTGGAACCAGATACATGCGGTTCTCCATATTCAGAACCGTTGGATAAATAGTCTGAATCCAAAACCAATCTAAACCGGTCTGTTTCTGATTGGTTCGGCTATTCGATTCCGGTTTTTATGCCAGGCCGCTTAACTTTCTCAGCTAAGCAAAATGTTTTTAACGTCTCTCCTCTGTTTTCTTGTTGCAGAGATCAATGAAGCCACTTGCTATCTTTGTCCTGCCATCACTAGCACTTCAAGCAATCTATCGCATCTGGTGGTACGCTTCTGGCTCGACTCAGATACCTTACCTAATCAACCCAACGCTGAGCCACGTCATAGCATGCACACTCCAGCTCTCCTCTTGGCTCTACCGTACATCACTCTTCATCATCGCTTGTCTCGTCTACCAAGTCGTCTGCCACCTCCAGGTCCTCCGTCTCGATGAGTTCGCTCGCTGCTTCGCCTCTGAGATCACTGACTTAAGCTCCACGCTCGCTGAGCATTTGAAGATCTGTCGTGAGCTGAAGGTTGTTAGTCACCGTTTCAGGCGGTTCTTAGTATTGTCATTGTTTTTGGTCACCGCCACTCAGTTCATGGCGTTGCTTACCACCATAAGAGCTAGTGTTCCCTTTAATATCTACGAAGTTGGCGAACTCGCGGTAAGAATTTTGCAGAAATGTTTTCAATCTTGTACATACAAAAACAAAAAAAAAAACAAAAAACAAAAAAAGTACATACTTAATCGAGTTTTGTCTTAAAATAAAGCTAAAGGTGAATCTTTGAAACATTCTCTTGATCAATGTCTGTGTGTTTTGACAGTTATGCTCCATAAGTTTGGTGTCAGGGCTTTTCATATGCTTGAGAAGTGCAACACAGATGACACACAAAGCTCAATCTCTGACAAGCATCGCCACGAAATGGAACGTCTGCGCCAGTTTAGACACGTTTGATGAAGATAATGGAGAGACTCCTAAATATCCGACATCCAGACAACATTTCCAGATTTTGTCTCGTCGTCGTGATGTTAGTCGATCACCTGATGATGATGAAGATGGAGAAGTAGATAGTGATCTTGACAATACTACGATACATCCAATCTATACCCGGGCCATTTCTTTCCAGAAACGTCAAGCTCTAGGTAAAGAATGTATGATTTGGAAAGATGATTGCGGTTAAATTGTTTCACCGTTTTTAACTATTTTGGTTTCTTCTTGTGTATATATAGTGACCTATCTAGAGAACAATAAAGCTGGGATCACGGTTTACGGATTCTTGGTGGATAAAACATGGCTGCGTATGATCTTTAGCATTGAGCTTGCTCTTCTTCTATGGCTGCTCAAAAAGACAATTGGTAATATACATGTTTGTCCTAATATCCATATCTTCGTTTCATCACGTTCTCTTGTTTCGATAACATTGTTTCTCTTCATGGTTTTGGTGTTTGGCAGTGAACATAACATGAAAACGGAGCCAGTGTCTTGGTTACTTTCAAAACACACGACGATATTAGTGGCAGAGAGATACTTTTTCCACATTGGCGGTTATCACAGTTATTTTGTACACCGTCTATGGAATGGAATTTATGTATGTTTATCAGTGTTTGATCTTTGTGAGTTAAATATGTTGTATGTATACAGCTCATGTGTTGTTGATTATGTAAAACTGATATTCTTTCATGAATTTTTGAGGGAGTGTGTGACACCCTGACCCAGCATAGCTGATATGATTGGCGATATCAGGACACTTGTCTCTAGTCCTTATGGCCAAAACAATGTGTCTTTGGGATTGTCTCAAGTCCTTGTGGCCAAAACAATGTGTCTAAAACAATGTGTCTTTGGGATTCCATGATGTCTTTGTCAAAAATTTACTAAAACGAATCGAACCTGAAAAGAAAAAGAAAGGAGGAGGGGTGAGCATTTTGACAAAAGCTCAGTGAGAAAAACTTCATGAGCCCCGAAAACATCACTCAACATTCACCACACAACATAACAAAAGCTATACCTAAAACATCCAGTAAAACAATAACAATCAACAAAAAAATAAGGATAAACCTCAACGATGCAACATGAGAGATGAGACCATGTCACCTTGTTTGGTCCCCGCGCTTCTCATGTTGTCGGATGATATCTCACCACCTCATTTGGTCCCCGTGAGTTCAACGCCTTCACGCGATTACGCCACCTTGTTCGATCCCCGTGTAACTCATGCCACCACATTCACACGATCGTGCCATATCCGGTTGTCTCCACGACATCACGCTGTGCTACGTGAATGGTGCCATAACATTTCAAGCGTTGCCTCCACTGCATCCAAATTTCTAACTTTGCATCCATGGCATCTCGATTTCTAACGTTGCCTCCACGGCATCATGATTTTAATGTTATAATGAATCATGCCAACTCACGCGATTGCCACATGATCCAACAAGAAATGATACAACACCCGAGACTTGCACACTTCCACCACGTTGCACTAGTAAACATAGGCCTTAAGCCATTCTTTAGCTTTTATACACCACCCACATATATCATATCTCCAAACAATGCAAACACCCTCATACAAGGCTCAATCATCGTACAACCATATTCATTCTAGCAACCTATGAGTAGATCTAGATGTTCACACATTACAATACAATATATAGGTGCACATGTGATATAGTTTATCTATCAAACAAATACATGTATGCTTATAGATAACACGTAGGTTTGAACGGTTTAATTAAAAACTCCTACTATGAAGTGATAATGAAAGAAGGAAGAAGATATCACATAATTCCTCACCTTGGCCTTAGATCTGCGAATGGGAAAGAGGGAAGAAGCAGATCTTAACATGCTTTCCACAAACCAGATCTACAAGAGAAATGGTTGGTGCATTACCGGTAACCAGATCTAGAAAGAAGACAAGAATATATCTGGACACAGACTTGAATAGGTCATCGGGATCTTCGATGGCTTGGCTCCAGCCAGCCAACGAACAACCACCAGCGAAGAGAGAGACGCATGGAAGAGATATGAGAGAGAGGTTGGCCAAGAGAGAAAGAAAGAGAAGAGAAACAGAGAGACCTTGACGGCTAGGGTTTTCAGATCCCTCTGGAACTCTACAAGGCTGCGCTTTAGTTTCTAAATGGGAGAGAAGAGAAGAGGAAGACTCATATTTATAAGAAAAGGAGAGGAAGCTCTAGGATTTACTATACGGGCCATAAATAAAAGAGCAAGGATTGATGGGCTTTTGTCCAAATCAACTTAATGAACAAAAAAACAAAACCATCCCGGTTTAAGAGAACCGGGATATGACAGAGTGTCTGATTTTGGTTTTGCATCTTCTAGCAATTCGTTGTAATCACTAACATCATATTGGAGATTGCTTGTGGTAGACGTAATATTTTTAGGACTTATTTATGATTTTTTCAGCAAAAGAAAAAACTAAATAGATCTAGATGATCAAATCGATATAGATGTTATTGAATCTATATATATATAAAATATATACATCAATATTCTATGAGAGATTACATGTCAAATGTAACTTAATTAGGTATTTGGAAATTTAAGAAGTTGAGAATCCTGAAAGCAAAATAATATTGTGTAAGGGTTGAGCCCACAAACTAAGGTCTTGGCTATAGTTGTTTTCTTTCTTTCTCATACAATTATAATAGAAAAATAGTAAAAAACACTTTATTGTTAGAGATAATGATTACTAGGTGGATATCCACAATTTTGCTGGTTTGAATGTTTTCTGACAATATATTTATTATATTTTGTCAAATTAAGATATTTTTTCATCATCAAAAATTGTATCTGTGTTTACTGTTAAATATTTTTAAAGAATAATTATTTTTGAAAAAGATGATTATGACTATTTTAAATATCTCTTGATATTTTGTATTAAAATTTTTTACTAAAATTAGTTATATATAATATTCATAATTCAGTTTTTAATATAAATGAGTTTTTAAGGTATGTAGTATTGAAACATTTGATTTTTAAATAATTTATAGCTAAAGTCATATGTCTTTATTAATATTAAAAGATAAAACAATATGATTGTTACACATTCTCTATATATTCATATTCAACTACATATGAATATAAAACTACTATATCAATTAAACAAATTACTTTTGAAATATATTATATAGTTTATAAATACTTGAGTAATAAAATGATTTTATGAGCATTACATGTATTTTATGATCACTAAAATCATAGCCAATCGGATTAAACCAATCCTTCAGTCTTCGATCAGTCGCTCCCAGTCTGCTTTTCTCAAGGGCCGGAGCCTGGGCGAAAATGTTCTCTTGGCATCGGAGTTGATCCGGAAATATGAGTCCCCAAACTGTTGTAGAAGCAGCATGCTCAAGATTGACATTAGGAAGGCTTTTGATACAATCTGCTGGGATTTTGTCATTAAAGTTTTGCAGGCTCAAGAATTCCCACCCGTCTTTGTAACGTGGATCAAAGAATGTATCACTACTCCGAGATTTTCTGTGGCTATCAATGGTGAACTTGCTGGGTTTTTCCCAGGCAAGAAAGGACTGCGCCAGGGTGATGCTATCTCCCCTTATCTCTTCATTATGGTCATGGAAGTGCTCTCAAAGCTCCTGGAAAAAGCGGTGGATAATGGGGCCTTTAGGCTGCATCCCATGTGCTCTACCCCGAGAGTTACCCACCTTTTATTTGCGGATGACCTCCTTGTTTTCTCTGACGGGTCAAGATTCTCTATCTCTGGTGTTAAAGGGGTCATGGCAGGTTTCAAATCTTGGACTGGCCTGGACATGAATTCTGAAAAATCAGAAATTTTCTTTGGAGGCTACACAAACTTGGAGGCCCTGTTATTAGCGACATATCAGGCTTTAAAAAGGGAACCTTTCCGACCCGGTATCTGGGCCTTCCTCTCAGCCCTAAGAAGATCAGCTATGCAACGCTGCAACCTTTCCTTGAGAGAATCTCTTCGAAGCTTAACTCCTGGACTGTTAAGGCTCTCTCTTTTGCAGGAAAGATAACCTTAGTCTCTTCAGTGATCTATGGCATGGTAAACTTCTGGAGCTCAGTCTTCTCCCTCCCGAAGAGGTTCTATGCTACCGTCGACTCCATGTGTGCCTCCTTCTTATGGAAAAACAAAACGACCTCTGCTGTAGGTGCTCGCGTTAGCTGGGAAAATATCTGTAAGCCCAAGAATGAGGGAGGTCTTGGTATAAGAAGGCTTGAAGAGTTTCAGCTTGTTTTTGAGCTTAAAAGAGTATGGAATTTCTTTTCTGAATCAGGTTCCATTTGGGTAGCTTGGCTGCGTCACAATGTTCTCGGTGGCCAGAGGTACTGGACGGTTGCGACCTCATCTTCTTTCTCATCCTCAGTTAACCGGATGTTGCAGCTGAAACCGAAATTACATGAGCTAATGCGATGCAACATAGGCGATGGCAAGACGGTCAGCTTTTGGTTTGACTGGTGGACTGATCTTGGACCTCTAATATCATTCTTTGGTGTTAGAGGGCCAAGAGACTTGCGAATTCCGATTGATGCTACCGTCTCTGCAGCAGCAACCAATGGTTCTTGGACACTCCCCCCAGCTCGGTCTGAAGAAGCTGAAACCCTACAAGTGGTTCTCTCCACTATGCGGCCGCCTTCATCCACGCATGGAGAAGATATATTTTTATGGCGGAGGGGTGACTGGTCTTTTTCCAAGAAATTCTCTTCAAAATCTACTTGGAATCTCTTGCGAGAGAGATCGCCTGCCATCCCTTGGAGCAATCTCGTCTGGTTCAAAGAAGCGGTCCTGAGGCTCTCCTTTGTTTCTTTGATGGCAATGCTGTCTAGGTTGCCTACTAGGGACAGACTTATCTCTTGGGGAATGACAGTTCCTGCATCTTTCCCCTTATGCTCCTTGGCTCCGGAATCTCATGATCACCTGTTTTTCATGTGTAACTTCTCCTCGGCTGTTTGGTCTCACTTTACTGGCTGGATGCTCTCTGCTCCCCCTGCATCGCTTATTTCTGTTCTGGCTATTATTGACCAGCCGCATATCTCCTCATGTTTTGGTTCTGCTACTGTGATTAAGCTCTTGTTGCAGGTCATAGTATACTGTCTCTTGAGGGAAAGGAACCACCATATCTTCCAACAGTCCTCTTCCACCGAAGCTGCGATCTTCTGCAGAGCTGACCGGATGATAAGGGATCGCCTCTTATCTCTCCCGCTGCCGCGTGAGGGTTTTGTCTCCTACCTGCAGCTCTACTTATCTTCCCCTTCGTTGTTCCCGCCTTAGTCCTTCCTTGTTTGTCTTTGCTGTCTTTGCTGCTTCTTTTAAATTTCCTGCACTTTCTTTCTATGTTCCCCTTTTGTAATAAGTTGTTCAATAACAACATTGTAAACTCTTCCAGAAAATGGTAAGCTTAACATTTTACCAAAAAAAAAAGTATTTTATATAAATCACATATTTAATTACCATAAATTATTTTATGAAATATATTTATGTCGTTTGGATACTGATAAAAATTGGTTCTAAAAGTGATTTTCTTACCCATAAAATAAATAAAATAGAAAATTTATTAACGAATCAAATTATAATAGTTTTTCTAAAACTCAAAGACACCTAAAACATATTAATTAAGTGAGTTCTCATTTAATATAAAATAAATTTTCAAAATAAATTTTATAAATTAATACATAAGCTTCTATAAATGACTTAGAACCTCTTATAATAATTTAAAACTTCTTATAAGCCAAAATAAATCATTTATAAATTTATTTATAATTTTATAAATGATTTTTAAAGCATGCATAAAATTTATTAGACATTAATAG